GATCAAAGGTGTATAATTCTAACCAGCTCCCCTCACCCTGTTTGCCGAAGTTTAGGATGTGCAGGTTCACTGTGATCTGAAGTTCCGGCGCCTGTGTGCACGTGCACCCAACCACAAACACTGGTGTGTCTGAATGTCCCACATGATTCATTCACAACGGGGATGGGAATGCCTCAGTCCCACATCACGAGTGTGGCTACTCAACACAGGAGAGGTTTGTTCATGCCCACGTGGTCTGGTGCACAGGGGGCTGGGACAAGGCAGTTTATGCGGCTGTAGGGAAAAAAAACCCTACAGCCAAAACCACAAAGCCAACTTCTGTTCAGCAAGACTGCCACCATTCAGCCTGTGAAAGAACAAAGAATAAGAAAATGTACTAAGCCACACCTTGAAAAGTCAGGACAGAGTGGCATGCCGCAGCTTGAAGGGAGCATTACAAAAGAGATCCCGAGTCACGTGTGCTAGCCTAAACCGCCCCACCTCTGGCTTGAGTGCTTTCCCTATTCCTCTGGCAGTGACTCCTAAAATCCTGCTCTCTCTAATGGAACCTCCCTAATAGAAACCTCATAAACCATTCGGTTAAAATAAGCACATGCTTATTCCTAAGCTTACCTCTTGCTATGTATGTGTTTAATGTATGTGTCCCTACCCGTCTCTCGATTTTTTAAGTCGAGACCTGGACCATGATCCTCCCAGAATCTCACCACAAACTTCATGAGGTTGTGATAATGAACCCTACTTACTGCTAACACAGACTAGCCTTGAAGAGAAATTCATGGAAGACCATGGTTTTAAATGGGAGCCTTTCTGAAAGTGACACAATACATCTTCAGGTCAATTATGTATTTTCAATATTAATGTGTACAGAGAGCCATAGCATCAGCAAGCCCAACCTGCCTGCTAATAATAATAATAATAATAATAATAATAATAAAAAGCAGGGGGAAACTTACCAGAAGTCTCTGCAATAGTTATTAAAAACCATGTCCCTAACTGAAAAATAAAATTTAAAAAATACTCATTCCCGAAAATTCATGTTTAGAGTAATCCCAGATGCTATCGACAGATACTGGAGCCCAATACACACCCTAGAGCACCATTTCTTGTGGCCCTGATTTCAAGCGTCACTTCATATTATATGTGGGAATTTGGTTTTTCTTCACTTTTAAACAAAAGCAGCACCTCATTATAAAACTATTTCAAAGTTGCTAAAATACTGAAGTTGCAGGATCTCTTTTCCAGGGCTGAGCCCTACATTAGGATTAATGGGTTCCCCATGTTCTTGGGGTCCCCACCGCATTGACCCTTCAAGGCTGCTAAGAGGACACGAACAGCTCAGCAGCGACAATCTTCTAACCACAGAGAAACTCGATGCGAGGGCTCCTGGAAGGCAGAGATGCTGGCAACCAGGAGACACTTGGTTTATAGATGTTCCAACCAACTGACACGTGTGAACAGTCAAAGACAATGAAAGGCTTTGTACTGTATGAACATCTGTAAAAATGGAAAACTTATGGCACTTATTCAAAGGTAGATAGATAGGTATCAGGACAGCAGTTGGCAGATGGAAATGCCGTAGGTTTCCTGACAATGTGGAACACAGTTCTATTTTTTAGCAGCAGCTGATGCCCAATTTAGATAATAACTAGTCCAGAGATGGTTCTTGGGAAGAAAAGGAAGGGAAGCATCACCGACACTTCAGGGCTCATGGGCGGGGCCCTGCCATCCCAGCAGATCCTTCTAAGGGCTCCAGGCACAGAACTGTCTACAGGCCACGGGACCGCTCTTTCTTTGTCAGGCTCAGCACTGGCTTTGGTGGAACAGCAGCCACAAATAAAAAGGTTTCTGCTTTCCAAAGTTACGTGTTGGCACTAAGGAGGGCGAAGAAGTCAAACGACACTGTGGCCTTTGTTAATTCTGGGTACCAAAGCAGATGTACTAGAAATTAATTTACAACTGAGAACCACAGGAGAGTCACTTCTGAGATGATCTACAATTTCCAAGGCAGAAAATCACTTTTACATACAACCCTTCATGTTACAGACGGAAAAATGGAAAAGCAGGAGGACAGACTGACATATCCAGGTCCCACTATAAGTTAGTGACTGAGCCAGGACCGAACCCCAGGCCCTGGCTCCCCAATTCCTAGATCTTTGATCTTTCCTCCATACCACACTGACCCTAAGGGCTAAATATACTAATTCACAAAAATCCCACACAGTACATGTAAATCCATCAACTGTAAAAGTCAATAATCCCAAATACTGACCTTATTTCCAACGGCTATCATCTGGCTTAGTTTATACTAATGTTACCACCTTCAAAATAAATTAATATTTAAGGAGCAAAGCCACACGGACAGCATTACAGCCTGGGAAAGACCCTTGAGGCTCCTCCAAAAATCAACACTTCATCCAAACATGACTATTTTTAAAACAACTTATTCTATCCTAACCCCCATATAGCTCGTTAAAGAACAAAATGCTAAATTCTATTTATTAAGTGTAGTCCACTTAATGCAAGTGAAAACCAAACTGTAAGATACAGTTCGCTTAGGAACTACATACAGGCCTCCCTTAAATGGCATAAACGAAAATCAGTTTCCCATGGTTTGTAAAAGCCAAGATGGACTCCCAGAGCCTTTTGGGGATGCAGAACTTGAAGAGAACTATCTAAACTCAGAGGAAGATTTAAAAGTTTATTTTGGGCCCTGGATGGTGTATAGTGCTGCCCTGTGAATCAGAGGACCACCAGTTCAATTCCCAGTCAGGGCATATGCCTGGGTTGCAGGCCAGGTCCCCAGAAGGGGGCATGTGAGAGGCAACCACATTTTGATGTTTCTCTCCCTCTCTTTCTCCCTCCTTTCCCCTCTCTAAAAATAAGTAAAATCTTTTTAAAAAAATGTTTATCTTGGGCTTCTTAATTGGCTTAGTTTCTTTGAAGCACTGCCCCCCGCCCCCACAACCTTAAATCCATCTCTCTGTCTATAAAAGATGAAATAAAAATTCTTAACTCCTCCCTGGCCAGGTGGCTCAGCTGGTTCGAGTGTCAACCCATACACCAAAAGGTTGTAGGTTCAATCCCTGGGTGAGGAATGTATGAGAGGCAACCAATCAATGTTTCTCTATTGATGTTTCCTTCCCTGTCTCTGTCTCTCTCTTGGTCTCTTGAAATCAATAAACATATCCTCTGGTGAGGATTAAAAAAAAAAAGACAAGAAAAAATACCTCTAACTGCAAAACAGATCACGTCACTCCAATGCCTTATCTCGGCCTACAAAGCCAAAACATCTGCTCATCTGGCCGCCAAACCCACCACTAAAAAGTCGGGTTTCCAAATGCTCCTTGCACTCTGTGAACAAATCAAGTGAAAAGTTGTGAAGACCAAATGTAACTGGCATTAAATTCAAACTCCGACTCCAAGATCAGGTTTAAGTCCACTTATAATAATGTCATGTATTATTTGCCACTAAACAACCATGCTCTCCATAGAAATCAATGTATCCAAGTAGAAAATTAAATTTCAATTTAATGCAAACATTCTCCTTTAAACTATCATCACCGACTCTGCCATAGGAGATACATTTGAAAACACATATCAAATGTGTTCCCCAAAGTCAGCCATCCCCTATTTCTGTAGTGAAATGGCCCTACTGTGAAATATCACATCAAACCAGTCACTAAAGTAGAAATCAGATGTTAAAACAAGTTAGTCATGAGCATCGGAGAGCAAAGTACAAGAAAATTGGAGCTTTTCCCAGTGAGAGTTTTTCCGAAGGAAAAAACACCAAGATGGGAAACAATACTGTGACAGAAAACTGCTTTATGGTAGCCGCGGTCAGAATCGCACGGCCCATGATGACGAGAGGCATCCCCAATGCACACGGCTTGGACTCAGGAAGACCCACTGCTCCCAGCAGAGTGGAAACAGCTGGGATGCGACCCGACACCTGCATCCTCACCAGCACTGAGACCTTATCATAGAGCTCAGGGCCCACCAGACTTTCTCCTCCTAAAAGCTAAACTAGAAAATTACTCTTTCCAGGTTCTTTCTCACCACAGAAATCCCCATTCCCCGGTCCCCCCCTACCCCCAATTATTTGTGACTTTGGGATTTCCTGCTAAAACAAGTACAGATTTTTGTCTATGATATTCGAGAATAGTCAGCCCTGGCTGGTGTAGCTCAGTGGACTGAGCATGGGTCTGCAAACCAAAGGGTCACTGGTTCAGTTCCCAGTCAGGGAACGTGCCTGGGTTGCGGGCCAGGTCCCCAGTAGGGGACATGTGAGAGGCAACCACACATTGATGTTTCTCTCCCACTCTTTCTCCTTCCCTTCCCCTCTCTCTAAAAATAAATAAATAAAATATTTAAAAAAAAAAGAATAATCAGAAAACCACCTATCTTCTATCTTCTCCCTCTCCTATCCTATTAGCGATGGCCCTCTGGATAGACACGAAACACTTTCACTAATGATCCTTTATTGCTACACTTATTCACTTATTAACGCTGTTTAGGTCCCACGCTGAAACTTACCGTTTTCCAGACTTGAAATCGGCATTACTGAGGACATTTCCTTGTGCTCTCATCCCACTTACCATTAAAAAAAAAACAAAAAGTCTTAGTCCTCATGACTTTACACAGAAAAAAAGGATTTTAGAAATTTCTGCACATGTAAAAACAAGTGTTTTTAAACCGTACTTTTTGGAAAAACATGTTTGTGAAAAGCAGATGCCTACTAACCAATCATAAAATTCCTTGCCTGCCCCTGCTCACGGCATCATTATAATAATCTTTTTCATCCACAGAGGGCATGCCCAGAACAGAGTTCCCCATTCTGTTTAATGACTCTCTGTTAGAGAAAAACTGATGTGGTTGTAAACAGTCTGGAATGAAATCTCAGTTACATCAGAGTCTAATGGTCTGGGCAGTCACGTGATTCTTGGTGAACTGTCAATCTCTCTCTTCCGGTGTGTAAGAGAATGGAAAGTCAGGCTGCTTACCTTGTGCAAAGGGAGCACCAGGAACGCGCCTCCCCCACTCGCTTCTATGATTATGGCAACAAATCTGGGATTGACAGCACAAAAGGAACTGTCCCAGGTCACTCGAGAAACCCGGATGTCATCATAACACTGGTCATTTTTCACCGCTTGTCCAAATACATGCCGAAACTTGCTCTGTCGTACCACTCGCCTCATTGTGTCTGTAGAAGAACAAAATTATGTTAAAATCATGCAACTAACTGAAAGCTTTACTTTTATAAATGAAAAGCTCAAGTAGAAAAAACCAGAATGGTACGGCACTCTTGTCTGCTCTCCTAAAAAGTAGCCAAATGGCAAATCCAAAATTCCTTTAGCAGCACATACCCGGAGAAAACTGAAAAATGCGTCAGGGAAAGAATTACAAAGAAATGAAAGTTTCCTAATTCAAGGTCCAGAAACTGCTCACCAGTTTTAATTTCAGGAAAAAGATCAAGGCAAAGAATGAAGGAAATTAGCCTTTCACAACTGGATGGGAAGTGAAAGATAATTAACTCCAGCCCTCCCTTTTTGTAAATAAGAAAACTCCAAAGTTAAGTTATATGGTAGATTTGAAGCTCAAGAAACCCTCTCAAAAAAGTTATAATATTGTGACTTTTCCCCTCATCCGCCAAGGTAATTTTTCAGAGTAATTTTTGCTTGTTTGTTTTGGGTTTTGTTTTTTTTTTTTGGTAGGCCACTGAGAAGCTGGTTTTATTAGAAGAGGATCAATTCGGCATCCCTGGCATATGACAGATGCTAGACTGAGGTTTGTAGAAGAAAAGTAACCTGCCCAAGGTCAGTCAGCTGGTCAGTGCTGGATTCCAGAGACTGAGGTTTCCTGGTGTGTAACTTTTCAGTTTTCAGCATTTTCCCCAGACATCAGCACTCTGCTGTCTGAGAACTGGGCCCACTCAGAAATATTTCTGTAAGACCAACTATGTGTAGTGGAGAATTCAAGAAACACTAGGCAACCACCCTTGTCTTCAAGAGCTTCCAACACAGGCTTAATAATCAGAGCAACTCAGAACCAAACTCCTGGTGCTGAATGCAACCAGCAGTCTGACTAAGGTCAAAAGGCAGGTCTCAGCAAAGAGCATCAAGGGTTTAAGTGGAGAGTAAGGTGATAAACATGGCGTGTATAGGACAAGAGGTCAAACAGTGGCATACTAGACGTATTAGACAGGAGGAAGCTAAAAGCAAGGTGCAGGGCTAAGTAAGCACTGTGACAATAAACTTGGCCTGGAGAGGCCTGGAAGGACTGTGGCAGTAGTGGTTGGGCAGAGGATGCCCCTTAGGGAGAGGAAATAAAACCAGGATGGGTTTTCCCATTGGAGCCGATCATTCACCTGGGAGCAGGGTAGTATTCCTGGACTTACTCATGGGTCCTTTCAGACTCCAAATTCCACTAGGGTGTCGGACAGACACGTGCACTGAAAGCTCATGCTTCAGGATCAACAGGCCCCAGCTGGTGGTTTCCTAGCCTTCATCCAACGTCATTTTCCTACCTGCTAATGTAGGACATTCTGTTCATACTGGCTAGGATAGAAGGGGCCTGGAAAAAAACTTAAGTGGAAATGGAACATGTTTGAACCTTGACAACTCAGCTGAAAACCAGTCACCCTGACCCCCATGCACAGAGGAGGGCTGGCACCAGCCATGCCACAAGGGGCACGGGGCAGGATGCTGCTGACTCCTCCCCTCCAGGTCCCTTTCTCACGGCTCTGGGACCACTGCTAAATGCAGAGGGAGTGCGTCTATTTTTGCCAGAGCCTCTTTCTACCCTTCCGAGGAATGTGCAAAAGTAACCTCTCTCCTAGCCCAGGGCATGTCACTGGGCTAAGCAATGGACCCCGGGCAGGCAGTTGAGCACCCATGTTCCTCAGCCTAGCTGTTGCCTGACCTTTCCAGCTGACTACCAGACCAGACATTTAAACTATCAGGTAGGGGAGATGGCAAATAATCTGCTTCCACTTGGCCAGGGTCCTTCATATGTTAAACAGTGCAAATAATTCTCAAGCATGAGGAGCTTCCATGAGGTGGTGAAACCACAAGAAAAGCACATCCACACAAAAGCCAATGCACAGCCAGCCGGTTTCAGGACCCATTTCCCGACACGACCATCTGTACCGGTTAGCGAAAGCTCAGATCCCCACCTGCACACCTTCCACCAAGTGTTTCAAAAGTAAGTTAACATAGAACTAAGAATTGCACCATATGTCAGAGTTGTTATCCTTCACATATAAAATTTTCACAAGTTCAAAACATGAAAATCCCAATAGAAAGTTATACAAAGGACAAGAAGAGGTAATTTACAAAAGAAATACAAATCGCATTTATCTCCACTCCTTCCTGAGAACCTAACAAAATGACAGCCAAGGAATAAAAGCAGGTATAAACACAGAAGGACGAGGGAAAGGACACTGGAAAGGGGACTAATGAGACAACACAATCTGGGAAGATGGAAAGCTATCAAGTCCGGTAACTGATGAGTGTGAATGTTCTCTACTCAGCCAAGTGCCTCAGGAGGAGAGGCGCATAAAAGGATGCCAAGGCCCACTGCAAACCCCAGAGCATTCAGGGAAACTGTGTCTCTAAAGACAGGGACGGGGGAAGAAGGGGGCTTCTGGCTGAAGCCTAAGTCAGAAGCAGCTAAACACCCCAGTCACCTCCTCTACTACTGCACAATCAGAGACTGCCCTGCACCTGCTCTAGCAGAAGCCAGACTGCATGCCCTGGGCAGCACGACACATAGCACAGGTGGGCACAGGTATGAACAGGTGTCACACGACACTGTGGTTCTGTACTGTGGAGCTTCCTGCCCCTTGTTCCTGGGGCTTCCAGAACCTTGGCTGCCAGGCCTAGACACCAACCGCCCTACCTGGTAGATCAGAACCTACCTCTTACTGTGACGTCCCCCATTAGATAAGCCAGATACCATCTAATCTCACCAATGACATAAACATTAATAAATATAAATATGTGAAGTGGTTCAAATGTGTTCATCAAAAGATATTACACAAATCTGCTGGCTGACTTACATACTAAAATACTTTAAAAAGTCATTCTATATTATACATACTGACGACTTACTTTCATTCTACCTACATGGAGTCAGAATGATATACTGGTTCTTTTGCTACAGCCATGGATTAGAGTATTAGCTACAGAGCAGAGACAGTGAGAAAAGTCAGTGCTTCCTGAGCTGTGCTGACTGAGCCAGGCATGTCCAAGTGCAGCTTGAAAGGCAGTGTGAGCCCACTCACATCCAAGGTTGAACCTGATCTGGGTTAGCTATCCACATGGCACAGCTGCTTTTGCTGCGCGAAATAGAGAAAAGCAATTAAGAGGGCAGGCTCCAAAGTCTGACAGCCCTGTGAGTGAGAAGCACAGCTGTACCATTTACTTCCTGGCCATGGCTCAGTAGGGCAAGTCAATGAATCTCCCTAAGTGTCAGATTCTCTATCTGAAAATGGTAGAGTACGTAAAAAGCGATCATTAAACAAGCACTCGGTAGCGGGAGATTCAAATGTTAAAGCACCTCGTATGGTTAGAGATACGTATCTAATTATACAATAAATGTCAGCTAGAAGGTAATCCAGATTCAAATCCTAGCTGTCATTTATTAGTAAATTACTTAACCTTTCTTAGCCTCAGTCTCCTGATCAATAAAATGAAGGGAATGATACCTATAATAAGAACTAAAAACATCTAACAAAACCCAGGTCCAGGTGGCTTCACCACCGAAGTCCATCAAACACTTAAAGAATGCCAATTCTACACAAATTCTTCCCAAGAACAGAAGAAGAGGAAGCACTTCAAAAATAATTTTATGAGACCAGTACTAATCTGATACCAAAATCAGATAAAGACATGACCAAAAAAAAGTGGACAAATATCTCTCATGAATATAGATGCAAAAATCCTGAACAGAATACTAGCAGACCAAATCTAGCAACGTGTAAAATGCATTATTGTACAATATGACCAAGTGGGACCTATCCCAAGAATGCAAGGTTGGTTCAACATCTAAAAATCAATGTAACATGTATCAATAGAATTCAAAAACACAGCTCACAGAACACCTCACACAGAAAAGCGTTGGATAAAATCCAACATTCTTGCATGATAAAATCACTCAACAAGCTAGAAGGAAACTTCCTCAAGCTGAGTTTTTAAAAACATCAATTGGCCCTGGCTAGTATGGCTCAGTGGATTAAGCACCGGCTTGTGAATCAAAGGGTTGCTGGTTTGATTCCCAGTCAGGTTGTATGCCTGGGTTGTGGGCCAGGTCTCCAGTAGGTGGCACTCAAGAGGCAACCACACATTGACATTTCCCTCTCTCTCTCCCTTCTCTGTCTAAAAATAAATAAATGAAATATTTTTTAAAAATCAATTGTATTTCTGTACATTCATTACCAATGACCTAAAAAATGAAATTAAGGAAACAATTCCATTCAGAATATTATCAAAAAGAATAAAATATTCAAGAATAAACCTACCCAAGAAGGTGAAAGACTTATATACAGGCACACCTCATTTTATTATGTTTGGCTTTACAACACTACACAGATGTTGCGTTCTTTAAAAATTAGAGGGAAGACCCTCCACTAGCAAAAAGATTACAACTCGCTTTATTGCAATACTGGCTTTGTTGTAGTGGTCTAGAACTGTACCCGCAATATCTCTGAGGTATGCCTGTACTAAAAAACTATAAAACATTGCTGAAAGAAATGACAGAAGACACAATTAAATGTAAAGACATCTTGTGTTCATGGATCAGAAGACTTAACATTACTCAAATACTCAAAATTAAGCTACAGATGCAATTCAATCCCTATCAGAATCCCAACTGACTTTGTGGAAACCGACAAATTGATTCTACTGGGTTGGCCAAAAAATCCATTTAGTTTTTTCCATAAAGTAAAAGACACAGTTTTCATTTTCACCAGTAATTTTATTGACTCAGATATTTTGAGTATACTGTCTGTCTCCTGCTATTGGCTTCTAGTGGGGAGAGGCCAGGGGTGCCACTAAACACCTTCCAATGCGTAAGACAGCCCCACAGCAAAGTTACTTGCCCAAAATGTCAATAGTACCAAAAAACTTCGCAAACCATTTCTGACATGTTCGATCAGCCAGAGCACCTTCTCTATACACTACACAAATCTTTTTGCATTTCACT